TTAGGGCTTGCTGAGTTGCTGAGGCTGGTTTTGAACTCACAATCCTCCTGCCTCAGCCTCCCAAGCCATTGGGATATCTTTTAATTTATTATATTGAAATTTCATTTAGGTAGAGCTTTAAGAGCTTTATTTCCATTATTAACAATGTAGAAAATATACTTTCCTGGACTTCAAAATCACTTTAAATTTATAACTTCATGCAGTCAGTCATTTATCAGATTAATTACATGTTATTGGAAAACACAAATCCTAAGTTTCTTTTCTGGAATAAGATGAATACAATGCACAGGGACATATGGCCCTACTTAGGTATGGAAAGGCATAGATTCAAGAGACCTGATGGAAGCATTGTGATACATATTTTTATTTTATTAGAATCTTCTTGTTTGAAAGGACCTATAATTAATCTTGTTTATTTCCCAGGTGAAGAAATTGGGATGATCTTATGTTTTCCCAGGTGCCATTGAGTTCATTAATTCTCTCATTTCCCTGGTTGAGAGAAAAAAATGATGCTTCATTTTCTTTTTTTATTAGTTTTATTTTTATGCAGTGGTAAGGATCGAACCCAGTGCCTCACAGGCTAGGCAAGTACTCTGCCACTGCGCTACCGCCCCAGTTCTTAGTGCTTAATTTTTTTTTTTTTTGAACTAGCAATATTTTAGTTTCAGGGACATCTATCCATCATTTATATACATATTCACTTAATATTTTACTTATAAATTTGGAGATTGGCTGTGATCCTTTGTGAACTTTCCTAGTTCTTTTTGCTTCACTTTGAATCATATTTTCAGTATCTGCTCTCTGAAAAGCACTTTGTTAGGTACTCAAGGTATTTATAATAAAGGAGGAGAAATGAGCATTGCCCTTACAAAATCTACAATTTAGAAGGCTAGGGCTGTAGCTCAGTGGAAGAGCTCTTGTTTATCATGAGTGGATCCTTAGGGCGAAAAAAAAAAATAAAAAAAGGAAAGGAAGAAATCTATGCTTTTAAAGGAATATTTTAAAAATCACAAAATAAGCACTAAAATCCAAACTAATAAAGTATGAATGGCTCAACTGTGCATGAATATATATTTTGAGAATTTTAAATCTTCTAGATAAAGTAATAGATAGTTGTTAAACTGGTCTGGGAAGGCTGGATGAGGCCATATTAGGTCTCCATGTTAGGAAATGGTTTATTATATTTGAGGGGAGCAGAGGGATCATCAGTCTGGTTAGAGTAAAAGTGTATGTAAAGAAAGGCTTGTAGATAGGATGTTAGGGCTGAACTGTGGAGCAGCTGGTATATGCTGAGACATTAGAACAATGAGAACAGAAATACTGGATCATGTACATGTACAGAAAAAGGGGCTTTGGTTTTTGTCTACCTTAGCATTTCCAGTAAAGCAAAGGATTGCAAAGATGTCTCTCATGATCCTGTTGTAAGTTTGACAGAAGCAAAGTGGTCATGTGAGGGTTTTAAATTGAAACTTAATTTTCTCATACCAGTACCAAACTAGATGCTATATAGGATAATGACACACACAAAAAGGAAAAATTATGGAAGAGGATTTTCAGTAATTATTAGGTGGATATAATATAGATCAGGGTTGGGGATACTATTTGTTTCTTCAGAAATTTATATATCTGTGCAAGACATATAGGTAATAAGCCAGTAGATTTGAAATCCTCACAATGAAAAGAGAATGAGTTCAGATATATTATTCTCAGTCTTGGTGGAATGGAAGAATGTACATTAATCTTTCCTTAGTGAGAAAAGTCCAGAGAGCACTTTATGATGATTTGCAAACCTAAGGGGAAGCATGTTTTGTAAATTTGTTTCAATAAAATTTAGTAATTCATGGGTTTGAATCATAGGGATCAGAACTATTAATTCATTTTAATGAAAGAAATGATTGATTAGACATCTGTTAGAAGACTATTGACCTGGTTACATAGATTAAAATGAGGGTTGGGTTAGTGATAAAGAAACAAGCTAGAAGTTTAATTTAACTACATGTACAGCATGTAGGCATTAATGCTCCCAGAAGCCTTTAGTGACTATAGATTATTAATCAATTTAATCAATATTATTAATTAAGATGCTTAGAAGAGGGAGGTGAGGAATGATGAGGTGCATCTGTTTTGTCTGAGTACCATTCATTTATTTATCATGGCTCACCTATGTTTAAAGAATGCAATGATCAGTTCTGAGAACCACAGTTAAGACACTGACTAATGTAAATTGAAGAAACTGAACAAGATGACCTATAACTCAGAATCATTTCATGAGAAATGGTTGATATATTTAGCTTCCAAAATGGATAGACTCAACAGAATTAGGTAATTATCCCAGTATTCAAAAGTAGGAATTTCTCTTCTCTGTAAGAAAAATTGTGTGTGTGTGTGTGTGTGTGTGTGTGTCTATAAGTGTCTGTGTATGTCCATTTCCAGACTCTAGGACCAGGGCTTAAGAGTGGAAAATGCAGAGAGAAGCTTTGGCATCATTTGGGGGAAAAACTTTCAAATGATGACTTCTTGCCAGTGGAATGAATTGCTATGTGAGGTAGTGAATTTCTCTTTGTTGCAGCAGTCCAAACATAGTTGGACTATGATTTGGTGGGAATATTTTAGAATACTGAAGTTTTGCTTGTGTGTATATTGGAGGAGTTGAAAAATGTACTCACTATTTTTCAGATCCAGAAAATGTTGAGTTCATGATTTTAAGTAGTGACAGTGGGAATGGAGTAGAAATTTCCTTGTCCTTCCTCTCTCTGCTGTTCCTCTCTTTCCTTCCTTCTTCCCTTTTATTTCTCTCTCATTTTTAATCCCTTTTTCAATTCCTTCATTTTTCTCTTCCTAACTTTTCTTTTTTCCTTCTTTCTTATTTTCTTGAAAGTCTGATTTGTGCCAGGCATCTACTGAATTATTGGGAAGGCAGTGAGAAACAAGGCAGAAATAAAACTGGTTCTTATGGAACTTCAGGTTTTTGAAGCTAAATAACATTATGTATGCTGATAAATGTTGGGGAAGAGAAGAGAGTTTTCTGTCCATATCAAGGAAATCTTAGCTACTTTGGGAAGATAAGGAATTCATGGGGAGACAGGAGACAGGGAGGGGGAAAGGGAGAGGGGGGGGTGGAGAGAGAGAGAGAGAATTTCAAGGAATCTATTGGACATAGAATTGATTTGGTGGAGTCCTTCAAAAGTGAGAGAGAGAGATTATGCTAACATTTTGAGATTCTAATTGGAAAGAGTGACCAACTTGAAAGACACAGGAAGGTAGGGAGGGAGAGTTGGCTTTTAAATGAAGATGAGTGAGTTGGTTTGGATCTTGCTGAGTGAAGTGCTGACACATCTGGGTTTCATCGCATGCTGTGGGAATGCAAGTTTGTAATGATATGAAGGGACTTCCTCTTTTAACAAAGGAAAAATACCTATAGCTTGATAACCTTAAATTTATTTTGTTTAACTTCAGTATTATTTTAAATCTGAATCCTCTGCAGGCATTTATTTATGAGATAACTAAAAAAAAACACACAGATTTTTAACTTTCAATATTATTAAGAATAATATAAATATATAATATTTAATATACATATAATAATATAATTTTATGTTTATTGATAAAATAAAATGGAACTAAATAAAAGGGTTAAATAGAAATAACAGAATTTCTTGTAGGATTCAAAACGAGACTTGGTCAAATTAAATTACTGTCCTGTTATATTTATATAATTGTCGCTCTCTGGGTATTTCTCCTGAGGTTTAGAGCTAATCTAAAATTTGAATAATGAAAAATTATATACACTGAAAATTATGGACCAATTCTCTAAATATTATCAATAAAATTAAAGTTTTAAACCCCTTTCATTATGGAAAATTTCAAGCTTTTGCAAAGAGATAGACTAATACAATGAATCCCCTGTCCCTGACACTCAGCTGCAAGTTTATTGTGAGTTTTATTCCATCCATACCCCTTCCACTTCCCCATTCCAAACTATTTTTTTTAAAATCAGAATTATACTATTTTCTTCTGGAAATATTTATGTATATCTTTAAAAGATTTTAAAAAGTCTTTTAAAAAAACATAACCATCATAAATAGTAATATATTCAGTAATACCTCATCTTCAATGTCATAGTAGTTTTAAGTTTTTAAAAATTTAATGATGTAATTGAAATATTTGACATTAGATGAAGATAAATATTTACATTTTTAGTTTTTCCTCTTAGAATAGAGACTTGGTTATGGTTCTGAATTATCAAAAGCCATTGGCATGTGATCAAGACTTTCTATCACGATGAAGTGAAAGTCCAGATATCCCAGGACCAGTGAAGTTCATTTTCAATTAGGTGGAGGGTCTATTCCTCTCACAAGAAGCATTAACTATAATTCAAATAAAATTTAATGACAATGATTTATAGGAATGGAGCCTTGGCTAAAACGTCAATTTGTAAAAAGCAGCTAAATTCTAGCAGCAATTTAGTTTTGTCACAATTCTGTGGATAAAACTGGCTCAGCAAGGAGATGATTGCTGAGAATCTCATGCAATTGCAGTCAGGTGTCAATTAAGCCCATGTCATATGAAAGCTCAGTGGGACTGTGTCCAAGATCAACTCTTCTCTCATATAATTGGCTCATCCTTTGGGGTGACTAAAACAGCTGGGGGCAGTATCTCTCCATCACCACTTGACCTTTCTTTAAGATTCCAGTGGTCTTCTTTACAGCTTGATGGTCTCAGGGTAGCCTTCTGAGTGTGTGTTCCAATGATGTGTAGAAAGGTGAAAAATCTTTTGACTTAGCCTCAGTTATCATGACCATTTCTACCTCATTCTGATGGTCAAAAGCTAGTTATAGGCATGCCCAGATTTAAGAGGAAGGCCATAAATATTATGAGGCAAGGTTCTCTGGGGACATCTTTGAAGTATTTTACCAATCTATTTATTTTTATACATTCTTACTTTCTCATGCCTGTGTCATAACACATTTACATTTTATTTTATTTTATTTTGTGTACAGGTTATCAAGGATCCTCCTCCACCACCACCACCTGCACCAAAAGAGGTAAATGAATGCCTAGGAAAAGGATATGTGTGGTCTTTTTCCATATAGATACCATCCCCAAATGTAATCAATTCCATTTGTTTTTAAAAAGCTCTGACATCTAAATATTGACTCTTTACTTTATGAAAATCAATTGTTATTTTTCATCTCATGACTTCTTTTATGTGCTAGAGGAATGAGGTCCTCATACATTGGTAGACATAGACTGGTCATCAGGATCAGTAGTATGTAGAGACTATATATACTTTTTATAGCAATATATTAATAGACCTAATGTCACTTATTTATAAAATGTTGGACAATCCAAGATGGCAGTGTGTGGACATTATTACCTTCTTCAGGCGGATTATTGCTTTAATAATACTTGGTTAGTGAAAATCATATTAGCAACATAAGTTAAGGAAGGTACTGGTTGCATTTGCAAAGTTTCTCAACTGTCTATCTTTCTACTAAAAGTTCTACAGATCTCAAACATACGTATACATTGATGCTTGAAGTGATTATTGAAATGCTGTCCTAAATTTAATGTTTTATCTTTTTAAGTATGAATTGATGAATAGATTTGCAATAAACCAGTGATGCTCAGAGGTTTTTGTTGTTATTGTTGTTTTTCAACTTCTGATAACCTAGGAGTGATGTGGGGAGGTACTTAAAGTTTGAGGAAGGGAAGGAGTCTTCATACCTTTTAGAATTCCACTTGAATTTTATATTTGTAAACATAAATACACATAGATGTTCTGTATATAATTTTTATTCATTTTCCATAATGATGGCATTATTTTTAAAATGTTTAAATGTGAGCCACTTCTGACTAAACAATATTTTATAAAATTAATTAAGCTTATATTAAAAATATATTTTTATAGGAAGAAGAAGAACCTCTGCCCAACAAGAAATGGCCAACTGTGGATGCTTCTTATTATGGTGGTCGAGGGGTTGGAGGAATTAAGAGAATGGAGGTTAGTATATTTTAAAAAATAGAAGTATATAATATAAAATATATATTTCTAAAACCATTAAGCCAGGGAAATTTAGCTTTTCACATTTCAGTATTCAGAATATCATTCATTTTTTCTTAATACTGGGTCTTTTCTGAATACTTTTTTTTTCCCCTATGAAATCACCCTAGCCATTTCAAACCCATTTGAGAACTGGTTTCCCTAGTCAAAGGCTTGCATTGATAAGATTGCTGAATTCTAAAAGGCAAAAAATGCTAGGGTTTTTCTCACTGTTTTGGAAAAAATTGTTGCATGGAACATCAACTTTGAAGAAGGAAATCACTTAAAGTTGTAACAGTACTCTTCTTTGAAAAGGTCCAATAGTTACGTACTATTTGTGGAGAAAATGTTAAAATATTCACCAGCATGGATATGACTTTATCCCAAATATAGAAAACTTACAACAGCATTTAATTATTGCTTAGGAACTATTCTAATTAATATTACATATCTTTTAGAGAATGCGTGAACTTTCAGAATGGCTCAAAGTGTGGATTAAAGTCGAATTTTAATATTGCATTTTAAAAATCAAATGAGGTTGGGGCATGGCAGGGCATGCCTGTAATCCCCACTGCTCAGAAGGCTGAGGCAGGAGTATTGTGAGTTCAAAGCCAGCCTCAGCAATAGTGAGGAGCTAAGCAACACAGTGAGAGGCCCTGTTTCTAAATAAAATACAAAATAGGGCTGGGGATGTAGCTCACTGGTCCAGAGCCTCTGAGTTATCCACCTACCCCTCAAAATAGAGGTTTTCTTATTACCATGAAATATTTATCACAATGATAGATTAGTTAATAAGAAGCAATCGTTGCCAGTGCTATGCCTGGCACAACAGAGTAGACAGATCAGCAACCCACCTCAAGGAACAATTTGAGGAATTTTCTCATAGACACATTGACTTTAATATTAAAGGCTGATCCTTGTATTTCCTGCTTATTAATTATAATCCAATTTTACTTGATGAGAAGGTGTATTTATATATTTTTCCTCCATTATTCATGTCTCCTATTGTCATATCTGCTTTTTCCCATTACTACCAACAAAAATCGTAAACTAATTAACAACTCCACATGTGCTGCAATGATCACTTTTTATAAATTTCAATAAAATTCATATTTCCAAAGAAAGTTTTCCCTTTTCATAATTATCAAAGTGTTTATTCAAGTCAACTGGCAGTAATTCTCAATTTCTCAGTCGCATTAGGTCTTAAAACTACGCATGTTTTCCCTAGGAGCTTGCCACTCATTGCTGAAATATCCTTTGAGATGGGTATGTAGTTGTCAATAAGCCACAGTAAAAGGCAGGTGCTAGAAGATATAAAGTTGGTCTTTGGGAGAAGATATTGCAGATGTGTTTGCATGTTGGTGATTGGGAATTTCAGCAGTCCAAGAAGACATAGTCATACTAGTTTTTGTTTGACACAGAGGAGGATTATTTTCCTTTGCCTTGGTCTGGTGTCATCCTAAGGATGGGGAAGTAGGGCAAGAGTGGACTGATGTTCCTATGTGTATAAAATATGCATTTATATTGTCACCAGGAATTACCTGGTGTCTTTGAAATATTCTCTTCAAAGCAGAGGTTTTTCCAATTCATCTTTGTTAATGAAAAATTTGCTTGTCAAATAATCATACTGAGATGAGCTTATGCTCATCTAAACAGTCCTCACAAATGAATGTCCAATGATGACCCACCACAGAACTGCTTTTAGCTTATTTATCTGCATCCCAAGATATAGGGGGCTGGGGGAATAGGATAGATACACTAAAAAATGTGAGTAGGAGTCTCCAAATGGAGTAATTTTTGATGTGTGGTATATACTTCTCTGTATTTTGTAATGCTCATTTATTCTTTTCTATTCATAATAATAAATTTGGTCCATATGAAATCCAAATATGTAGCATACTACATGAGAATGAGGTATATTATTAAGTGGGCCTTAATTCAATAAGTATAGTGTTCTTGCTGAAGATATTAGAAATATCAGATTTTTGTTAGTCCAGTATTCCAGTGTTCTAAAGAAAATAATATGCATGAATCCCTGAATAGAACCTAGTGAAATGGAAGAATAGTTTCTGTTAGCTTTCTATTAACATAACAAATAGCCAAGGTAAATTAACTTAAAAGGGGGAAGGTTTATTTTGGCTCACAGTTTCAGTCCATGGTCAGTACCCTCTGTTACTTTTGGGTCAGTGTTGAGGCAGAACATTCGGGTAAGGAGTGTATTGTAGAGAAAGCTGCCAAGTAGTAAAAAGAGAGAGGAAGTGCCGCAGTCTGGCTGGGCACAAAATCACGAGCCACTCAAGCAGGAACAAAGTTTATTTTTTGAAACTGCCGCCAATGTCCGGTACCGCCCGGGAAGATTTTTTCCACCCACGCGGCCTCCTCCCGGACCGCGGAGAGAGCTCCTCCCCCGGAACTCCCTCCTACTGTACTTCCCCAACCAATGGGAACTCTCCAGGAGTCCCGTAGCCGGCCTAGGTGAACAGCAGGAGTCCAATATCCATATGAATGCAAATCTTAACATAATCATATCATCTCAATGGCTAGCTGGCGTCACCTTTAGACCAAAAATGCCATGCATCATACACTTGGCTCTTAGCAAGGAAGAGATGAATGTCCCATAGTACCTTGGAGGGCACACCCGTACTGACCTAAGGGTCCCACTAACCTTCCAAAAGCCCTAAGCTGAGGATGAACCCTTTAACACCTGGGCCTTTAGGGGACATTTCACATACAAACTATAGCAATTAACTTATGCTCAACAGGTAAATTTAAGTAGCAAGCTATTTTTTCCATATTAAAAACCCTAAATATCTTTAATTCTTCTCAGGCTCACTCTAACAACCTACTCCTATTATTCCATTGTATTTTAAAATTATCTCAATGTGATCAAACTAAAACATTAATATTTACACATATACATATGTGTATAGATTCTTAATTTTAGGAGTTGTAGGAAACCTCTACAAGTGTTTCCTAGTTTTAGACTTTGAGACTGAGTGATATTTGTTAGTGGTGGTGTTTGTGCTGATGGTGATGGTGAACCAAAGCTAATGAATTTATCTGATTCATCTCTTTAGACCTCATCAACTCTGTGTCCTACATATAGTCCTTTGATAATGAGACCTTAGAAGTGCCACATTGGTTCAGAACGCTAGTTCAACTAGCTTCACATTTTATTTTAGTACGGTTCTACTAATAGTTGACCTTTATGATTATCAACTATGAAGCATAGGCTAGGGAACTGTATATGTTAAAATCTATCATTTATGAGTGAATCCGCATTTTATCTACTTACATTTCTACTCTGAATTACTTCCCTGAGTTATGACATTCTTACGTTGCTTAACGGTATATCTCCTTTGAATTTTTCTTTTTGCTTTTGTTTCTTCCTCAAAATTGCAACTTTATATCTGTGGGGAATGTGTCCTGGATTTATTCATGTCCAAAGATTTTATAAGTGTTAGTTTATCTAGGTGAAGACACTGATTTGAAAGAGAAGGTCATTTCTCTGGAAAGAAAGCCAGCTATCTAGCTCAATAAGTTTAATGGCGTTTAAAACAATTTTAACAACCTCATAAAGAACATTCTAGTACCATTGATCACACTGAAAGATACAGATACATTTTAATGACTGAACAGGGTCCACTTGAATTGAAAGCCCATTTTAAATTGTAGTTAAAAAAAAGTAAAAACATCTCTGTAAGCCTTACCAAAAAGCTCTGAATAGTTCTTTCTATGAACAATAATCATCTGTATCCCTACCCATTAATTCAGGTCATTAAAATGCTTTAAAAGACTTTAATGTTTTTTTCCTTTATAGAAATCACTTAGCTGTGGTATGTCATACTGTGCTCTGGATAGGGGTTTGTATTTCTTTTTAGAACTTGACTTTTCTTATCTTCATTGACTTTGGTAATGTTTTTGTAGGACTTCTCTCTACTTCCGTTTGGACAAAGTCCTTCCCCAGGGGCCACATCCTATTCATATGCCTAGTTTGATTCAGGTTTATCCCTTAATTTCTGTTCACTGAAAAAATAAAGAAAACAATAATTTGATCTGGTGGTTTTTCAAAGTCAAGAGATTTCAGAGAAGGAAATTCCCTAAAATTTGTGGAATTACCTGGTGTCTTTGAAATATTCTCTTTAAAGCAGAGGTTTTTCCAATTCATCTTTGTTAATGAAAAATTTGCTTGTCAAATAACCATACTGAGATGAGCTTATGCTCATCTAAAGACTAAAAGCTATTCTACCAAGTAAAAATTTACAGAAGTAATCTTATACATACTTACTTTACTTTCAAAAACTAAATGTTTAAATAAAAAATTTTGCCTTCATTAGATGAAAAAATCTGAATAAATAGCTCCTTCTTATAAAATACAATCATAAAATTCAGGTTTATTTGAAATTTAACCCATTTCAGATTGCCTATGCTTAAATTCTTGCCCTGCCATGTACTAGTTGTATGGTTTGGGGCACATCTCTTAACCTCATCTGGAAGGAAATAGTATCTGTCTCATTGCATTTTTTTAATATTTATTTTTTAGTTATACGTGGACACAATATCTTTATTTTATTTTTATGTGGTACTGAGGCTCAAACCCAGGGCCTCACACATGCTAGGTAAGCACTCTACCTCTAAGCCAGAACCCCAGCCCTCATTGCATTTTTGTGTTAATTAAATGCAGACTGACACATAGCAGTAACTCAGTAAATGCTGCCATCATTATCAATCTAACTTACCTAATTATAAAACAGAAATACACACTGTCGTGCATTTTATGTAAACCACAAATTGAGTCCTTTTTTTGAAACTGTGGAGAAAGGTTATTTCAAATTTAATTGACTTTAGATTTTTAAAAGAATCTTTTTGTCTAGGATCTTAATAATCGATATAATTGGGAGTGTCAAGAAATCTATTAAGTCTTGGAAGAGTAGCCATTAGGAATTGATGTACTGATTCATCTTTTTACTCTGAGCTAGTGAGCCAGAGGATCATGGGATACAGAAGAGCTTGTTCCTTTAGGCCACGTTCTCTCTGACAGCAGTGTCCCCTTTGTTTTAAAGGTTCGCTGGGGTGATAAAGGATCTACTGAGGAAGGTGCGAGGTTAGAGAAAGCCAAAAATGCTGTGGTGAAGATTCCTGAAGAAGAGGAACCCATCAGGCCTAGGCCACCTAGACCCAAACCCACTTACCAGCCTCCACAGACAAAGTGGTATGCACCAATTAAGGTACGTATCCTAATTTTTAACTTAAGTCTCCTAGAGAAACTATAGCTTTTACAGTCCCCCATCATTTGAAGAAGGCCTATGGTGGATCAAGTAGCAGCTTGATCATTGTAAAATGAGTATTCATTTAACTTTCTAACAACTAAACACTTTCTCAGCATAAGAACCTCCAAGATTTTGTTTGTTTAATTAATTTGTGGAAAAAAAATAAAAGTAGAGAATAAGACTTTACCTTCTTTGCTTTACTTTTTCACTTTTTCAGTGAGTTGAATAACAAATCACATTTTCTTTAGGGTCCTCTTGATGCACTCTGGGCTTTGTTGCGGCGGCAGTATGACCGGGTTTCCTTGATGCGACCTCAGGAAGGAGATGAGGTTTGTATAGGGGAATGTGCTGGGAAACAGTTGACTGCTGTACCAGGATAATGGAAGTACTGGAATATTCTGCGGAATTAATGTTAAAGCCCTTATTCCATGCAAGGAAGGAGTTAGCATTGCCTAGAACAGATTTCCTTTACATAGGCTGCTTACCAGGTTACTGTTAGAGTGCATCTCCCATCTACAGGTTCATACCAGTCCCTTTTCAAGTAATTCACAATAACTGTGATCATTTGAATGCATACTTATGCCTTTGAAGACATCATGTTCTGAGTTTTTTATCTGGTGGGAACAACAGACTGGGAATGAGTTGCTGAGGATTTTCTTTAGCATGTAGTAGCAATGAGACCTACAGAAAATATCTCAACCACAGTTGCTTTCATAAATAAGTTCTTTGTAAGGGAGAGTGTCTCTAAAGCAGTGTAAAAATCTGTACTAGTGATACATGGGTACAGACACACACAGGTATGTATATATATGTATTTTAAGTATTTTTTTTAATATTGAAAATTTAGCTAGAATTTTCCTAGTTTTAGAATTTCTTTAATAATTTACACTATTCCCTATTGTATCAATGTAAGAAAATTTCTCCCTAACTTTTTCATATATAATAATAGTTGGGTTTCTTTGAGAAACACAATAATGTTCATAATTTTTTTTAAAGAGAGAGAGAGGAGAGAGAGAGAGAGAGAGAGAGAGAGAGAGAGAATTTTTTAATATTTATTTTTCAGTTTTCGGTGGACACAACATCTTTATTTTATTTTATATGTGGTGCTGAGGATCGAACCCAGCGCCCCGCGCATGTCAAGCGAGCACGTTACTGCTTCAGCCACATCCCCAGCCCAATTCACTATGATTCTTAATAGAAACTTTTTATATAATGAGATTTCATGCCTTCGTTTAAATTCATGTGTGATCTGGAGTCATGCTTTGGAGCAACATATAATAATTCCTCTTCCTCTATAACATGTTAGACTTTTACTTTAAATATTTTGCTTTAAATATTGTTCATGCATCATCTTAGTTTTCTTTCCTGGGATTAGAAACTGTTTCATTTGTTCAGTGATTTCCACCCTATGAAATGCTAGCCTGTGTTGAGCTAACCCTGGAGATAAAACTAGCAGCCCTCCCAACTATCTTGCTGGAACTTTATATGTTCTTTTAACTATCATGAGTAAAATTTAGTTAGTCTTTCATCATTCATACTAATTCTGATAATTTTTCATACATTTTTTAATAAATTTTGATAATTTTTAGTTTTGATAATTTTTGAATTATAAATAGGCATAAATAATGGCATTAGATAAAAAATGAGGGGTGTGGTGCAGAATCGTCTTTGCTCTTAAGAAATCTAAAATTTGTTTGGAAAACAAGACATGCACAAAAATAAGATTTACATTGGAATTTATATTTATATTGGATTTATATTTAAGTATATTGGGCATACTAAAATGTGTAGTAGAAGAGATTAACTCTCCTGGAAAGATTAGATAAAGCTTCTTTGTAAATATAGGTTTTCTGTCTTAGAAAATAGGTAGTTTTCAACAGGTAGAGATTGGTCACTGAGGTAGCTAAGTACCTAGGGAGTGGTGGCTTGCTAGATAGTCTCAGGGTTGGAGGTTAAAATCAGAAAGATTAGTTGGAAATAGAGGAAAGTTTTGAATTTGGATAAATTGGCATATTTGCTTTTTAAAATCATGCGTTATAATCATTCATTCATTCAACAAATATTTATCTAGTGCCTAACATGTGCCAGGCACTTTGTTAGACAAAAGATAAATTTAGCATTCTTCTTATAGAATATTCCACATGTTGCCCCAGCAGGTTGCTATTTATTTTTCTATAATTGATGAGTAATGCTTCCATTTCTATTATTTTAAAGATTTCTTTCTTTTTTCAGCATTTTGTTTGTGCTTTTTATTTATGATGATTTCAAAGACTTTTATTCTAAATATTGAGGTCAAATTATTTCAAATTCAAAAATTTTTGGATTTTAGGAGTCTGATATAGTCTATATCATATATAAAACAACATTTCATAATCACATTATTTAGGCATTTTGCTATAATATAGTAATTATATTAGTTATTACAAGTGGAAAAAAATAAAGACTAAAGTTTTTCTCAGGTTTTGCTTTGAAGTGTATTTTGGTGAGAAACTTAGGACAAAACTCTCAGTTTTCAAAGATTTTGAATTTTAGAATTTTAGAATTTTAGTTAAAAGAGAGAAAATCTCAATATGTGAGATGAAATAAAATCTCACTACCGGTATGCTATTTATGTTTTCTGGTTATTTTTTACTTAAAATGTAGGTCAATAACCTCAATAAATATCAATTATTGGCTCAATTAATGAACTCATTTTCTTCATCAAATATGTATTATGATTCTAAGTGTGCCTGATGCAGTTTGACTTAACTTTTTATCATCATACCTCTTCTTTTTAGCTTTACTGGTTCCAGTATTTTGTCACCTGCAAATTTTTGTCACTTATATTGAGCCACTGTTAAAACTGCAGTGTGGCACTTTTAGAGTCTTTTCCCCCAAAGTGAGGCACACCACAGTTAATTGACATTATGGTAAAGCTGAAAAACCATCCAACAGTACAACCTCAGTTAACTGCATTATTCACAAGATATTTAATATGTATTTTTAAATTCCTTGCCGACTATAAGGTATATTTATCTATTCCCCCATATAACCTAACTGATAATACAACATGATTTGTTCAGAACATCTGGTGAGCTTGGCATGATTTGTTCTTGTGCTCCTTTATAACATTTACTTATTTAGTCTGAGGTTTTACGTCAAATGTATAGTTATGAGTATATAATTGTTCCCTTTTAAACAACTTGAGAAAATTTTGCCCCTCTCTTTTTTATTTTCCATATTTTCACTTTCTGTGTTTCAAAAAATTATTAAGACTATCTGAATTTATGTCAACTCCACATCATCAATCCAGTCTTCCTTGTTTGATAGGTAATTTCAAATTACCTATCCCACATACATACATAACTATAACCTGTATTTTTCCAAAGAGTAAGCCATAGAGTAACACACTAAGGGTCAGTTCAGTGCTTCAGTGGAGTCCCTTTCTATACATTATTAGGAAAACTGAAGGATTTCAACATTTTACATATGTTTACATTAAGTGTTAGGAAGTCATCATACTCTTTTCTTCTCCTGGAATCTGGAATGGTTTCTTCCCTCCCTTCTTTTTATTCTTCCCTTATTTTTCCCCCTGTTTCTTCCTGAATACATTTATATCCACAATCTTTTCATTTTCAAATTTGCTAGTTTGTTCTAGCGTTTATAATATTCTTAAATATTACACTAACTTTCAGTGGACTTCTTTGAATAAATGGAGCCTTTAATTGTCCTGTTCTTATGCTGATGAGCACAAGTGAATACCTTTATGGACAAAGGCCACCAAGTGACTATAATATGGTTCCAAAGAGAATCTTCACCAATCAGCTCACTTAATCATGGTAATATTTCAGTGGATTTTATTTAAAAGTCTCTACAATAACAAAATACAACATATTATTTTTATCCCAGAAAGTTATATTTAATTATTTGTTTAAATAAAATCATAGTGTATGGTGTAGTGACATAATCTCTACCTGAGAATCTAACATCCCACCCGGTTTGTTTTTATTTCCTTTTTGTTTTTCCCCTTGTGGTCCTAGGAATTGAACCCATGATAGACAAGTGCTCTACCACTGATGTACACTCGAGCCCAAATTTTATTTTTATTTTATATTAAAAAAACATATAATATTGCTTAAATTCCAGTTTTTTTTTTTTTTTTAACTTTAAAGAAGCTTTTGTTTGGGGAACTTAATTTATCTAGGAAGAAAATGATGCCCGAAAGCCAGGAAGAGTACTAGGGATTTAGAATACATTTGAGACAGCTAATTTTGATGCATGATACTAAAATGTGATAATTCATTTTTTAAAATATCTTCATTTATTTTTATGTGGTGCTGAGGATCTAACCCAGTGCCTCATGTGTGCAAGGCACGCGCTCTACCGCTGAGCCCCAGCCCCAGCCCCAGATAATTCATTTTAATAATGCTTTATCTATACATGAAAAGAAATGACTCACTGTTGCCTTCTAATTATTATGGTTAAATCCCCAAAAGGCCTTTATAAAACCTTATGTTTTTTACCAATTTTAGTTTATATAAACATAATTTATTTCATAGGATTACATGAAGCTGAGAAAAGTAAAAATTAGGGCACTAAGATGTCCAACTAGCAGTATCGTACTTACATCTTTGGCTGTTCTTTAACCATATATCCATCTACCTTTATATTTGGTTGAAGAAAGGAAAAAAATTAATTGAGTTCAAAATTATGTGTGTGTGTGTGTGTGTGAGTGTGTGTGCGTAAGTATGCCAAGGCTTAATCACTGAATGAGAAAACTTAGGCTTGGAGTTCTTTTGTTACCTTTAGATAACCATACTTATCTGTGAATAGGCTCCATAATCCTGCTATTTGCAAACTTATCTACCTCTCAATACTTGATGAAACCAAGTTAGAGGACAAACTCAGACTTATTGATGAAAGATTTCTTATATATGAGATGCTCCTTGTCCTTTGCTTATTAATTTGTATCAACAAACTGATTTCCCAGTAAATTAGCCTATTAATGATTAGGAAATTTGTAAATAGTATTATGTCATCTTAGATTACATACATTGAGTCCCATAGAAAAGGTTTGTCTATGCATCAAGTATTTCATTGGAACAAATGTGATGAGCTATTAAGGCCAATTCTTTTTAAAAGAAACTTTATTATCAACATAAATTGATGAATATATTTTGCAAATATTTTTTTCTTGTTTCTTGTGCTCATAAAGGATTTGGTGTGTCCATATATACATGTATAATATTTACCTTGAATTATGCCTCTCATGAAGTATTTGTGCAGGTTTAGGAGTTGTGTGCTTATTACAAAGCAATTTGTACACTGTAAAAATTTAAAAAAAAAAGAC